AAAAAAAAAAAAAAAAGAATTATTTTGAGCTAAAGGCAATTAAAAAGCAGCAAACAAGCTGGGCACGGCGGCTCACTCCTGTAATCCCAGCACTTTGGGAGGCTGAGGTGGGCAGATCACCTGAGGTCAAGAGTTCAAAATGAGCCTGGCCAGTATGGTGAAGCCCCATCTCTAAGAAATATACAAAAATTAGCCGGGCATGGTGGCGGGCACCTGTAATCCCAGCTACTTGGGAGGCTGAGGCAGGAGAATCGCTTGAACCCATGAGGTGGAGCTTGAAGTGAGCAGAGGTCATGCCATTGCACTCCAGCCTGGGCAACAAGAGTGAGACTGTCTCAAGAAAAGAAAGAAAGAAAGAAAAAAAGCAGCAAACAGTATGCAGTGGCTAACACCTATAATCCTAGCGCTTTGGGAGGCCAAGGCAGGTGGATTGCTTGAGCTCAGGAGTTCGAGAACATCCTGGCCAACATGGCAAAATCCCATCTCTACTAAAAGAACAAAAAATAAAAATAAAAATTAGCCAGGCCTGGTGGCATGTGCTTATAATCCCAGCTACTCAGGAGGCTGAGGCACAAGACTTGCTTGAACCTGGGAGGCAGAGGCTGTGCTGAGTGGAGATCATGCCACTGCACTCCAGCCTGAGCAACAGAACGAGATTCTGTAGAACCTAGCTACTTGGGAGGCTGAGGTGGGAGGATCGCTTGAGCACAGGAGTTTGAGGCTGCAGTGAGCTGTGATCACGCCACTGCACTCCAGCCTGAGCAATAGAGTGAGACCTTGGCTTTAAAAAAATAAAAAAGAAGATAGTCTTGCTCCTCTTCCTCTATCAGGAAGGACAAAGGCTAATCCCCAGAGACAAGTCTAGATCCTTATCAGCCTGGGCATGGCACCAGAAAAATCTATATACCAAACTGTACAAACTAGCCTTTATCTACTGTTAAAGTCAAATAAAATATAGAGACAAATTTAACATTTTTGGGGGGAAGCAAGAATTGCAATTCTAGGTCATAAACAGAGACAGGGTGATCTTCCATATGTTCAAAGAACAAAGAGAAGGTTGGAAGTTTTATAAAAAGGAGAAATGTTACATACTATTTTGAAAGAATGTTCATCAGCACTAGTAAAGTTTTGGGGAGGGTGCAAACTCTGAACAGTGAGTGGCTGCAGTGGGTAAAATTAATCTTACAGTCTCAGCAGCTGTTTCAGTAGCTACCAGATAAAACTGGTTTCGGGTTTTAACAGGCGGTTTCAGCAGTCAAGCTTGCCAAGAATTACATTCTTGGAGCAACGTTTTGTGCCCTGTGTGCTTTTTCTTCCTTTCCTCTAAATGCCCTTTTATAATTAAAAAAAATTTTTTTAGAGACAAGATCTCCTGTCGCCCAGGCTGGAGTGCAGTGGTGCAATCATAGCTTACTTCAATCTCAACTTTCTGGGCTCCAGCAATTGTCTCGAGTAGCTGGGACTACAAGTAGGAGCCACCACACCAGCTAATCTTTTTGTTTGTTTTTTGTAGAGACGAGAGTCTCCTTACATTGCCCAAGCTGGTGGTAAGCTCCTAGTCTCAAGCGATGCTCCTGCCTCAGCCTCCTGAAGCACTGAGCTACTGCACCTGGCCTCGACATTTTTAGTTGGGCATGATAAAAATGACCCAATTAATGTAATTAACTTACTTTTCTTTTCTTTTCTTTTTTTATTTGAGACAGAGTTTCACTCTTGTTGCCCAGGCTGGAGTGCAATGGTACGACTTTGGTTCACTGCAACCTCCACCTCCCAGGTTCAAGTGATTCTGCTGCCTCAGCCTCCCACGTAGCTGGGATTACAGGCACCCACCACCATGCCCAGCTAATTTTTTTTGTATTTTTAGAAGAGACAGGTTTCACCATGTTGGCCAGGCTGGTCTCAAACTCCTGACCTCAGGTGATCTGCTCACTTCAGCTCCACAAAGTCTTGGGATTACAGGTGTGAGCCACCACACCCAGCCAATGAACTTTCATGCTATCTTTTGTTACTACATATTTTCCTTCTCACCATTTCCTGCCCCTAGAGACTCAAGGTCCTTTTCCTTTTTCTTGTCACTTCTCTAAAAATTTATAGTTCCTTTGCTAAGATGCTATATAAAAACAAGTTCAAAACAAACCTTTGAGTTACCCATTTCCTGGGTACTCCATATTGCATATTCTGTACACATGTTAGTCAACTTCTATTTGTTTTTTCAACTGTTAATCTTTTTTGCTGTTATGTTAATCTGTCTTTTGTCAGTCTAATTTACATGGCCCCGGCTGAGAACATAAGATGGGTAGAGGAATTGATTTTTCCTCCCCCACAGCAAGACCATCTTCTTTTTTACTTTTTAGAGTCAAGTTCTCACTCCGTTGCTCAAGCTGGAGTGCCATGGCATAATCATAGCTCACTGCAGCCTTAAACCCCTGGGCTCAAGTGGTCCTCCCACCTCAGCCTCCCAAGTAGCTGGGACTACAAGTTCACACCCCCATGCCCAGCGAATTTTAAACAAATTTTGTTTTAGAAACGAGGTCTTGCTATGTTGGCCAGGCTAGTCTCAAACTCCTGGGCTTACGCACTCCTCAGCCTCCTGAGTAACTGGGATTACAGATGTGAGCAACTGTGCCTATCTGCCTTCTTTTTAAAGGATGAATAATATTCCATTGTGTGTACATACCATATTTTCTTTATCCATTCATGCCTAGATGGACATTTAGATGTTTGATAAGAATGTTTTACTTTCCTCCTGGTATTGGAAGGACATCTTCCAAATGGAGATTTTCTCTCTTGTTTTCAGGAAGAAAATGGGGAGGGTCAGAGTGAATTTCTTGTCCCTGCTGGGTTTTGTAAGCGCCTTTCGCTCAAAATAGTCCTCATACTAAAGTGGCATATTTGGGGTGGTGTGTTCTGAGCTCCTTTGGCATACTTGAAGTTCAGGAGAAAAGACACAAGAGAATGTAGGAGAGCAATTCTGAGATAGCTGAATATTTTCCAAAATTGAATAAAAGACATAAATTCGAAATTTGGGGAGCACAACAAATCCCAAGCAGGCTTAAACAAAATTCAATATCTGGACACACTGTAGTTAAACCACATGACACTGTTATCACTGTCACAGTGTGAAGAGACCACCAAACAGGCTTTGTGTGAGCAATAAAGTTTTTTAATCACCTGGGTGGAGGCGGGCTGAGTCCAAAAAAGGAGTCAGCAAAGTGTGGTGGGATTATCATTAGTTCTTATAGGTTTGGGATAGGCAGTGGAGTTAGGAGCAATTTTTTGTGAGCAGGGGGTGGATCTTACAAAGTACATCCTCAAGGGTGGGGAGGATATTATGAAGTAACTTCTCAAGGGTGAGGAGGGAATATCATACAAAGTACATTATCACAAGGGCAGGGAGGGTGTATTGTCACAAAGTCAATTGATCCATTAGGGTGGGGCAGGAACAAATCGCAATGGTGGAATGTCATCAGTGAAGGCAGGCACTGGCTATTTTCACTTCTTTTGTGGATCTTCAGTTGCTTCAGGCCATCTGGATGTATACGTGCAGGTCACAGGGGATATGATGGCTTAGCTTGGGTTCAGAGACCTGAAAATCACCTGATGGGTTCTTGCTCACTGCACAGGCAAAACCAATTCACTGAGATCATAGTACTGCAGTAAAGAAAGAGTTCAATTAACAGTCCTAGCAGGAGCATGAGTGTTATTACTCAAATCAGTCTCTCCAAGAACTCAGGGGCTAGGGTTTTAATGGATAATTTGGTGAGTTGGGGTCTAAGGAAGGGGGTTGCTGATTGGGGACAAAATTACAGGGACATGGAAAACAATCTTTATGCACTGAGTATGCCCTTTGGGTGAGGGCCACAGGATTAGTTGACTCATGGTCACAGGTCCTGGTGGGGTCAAGTGGTTACTAGAATGCAAAAGTCTGAAAAACATCTCAAAAGACCAGTCTTAGGTTCTACAGTAGTGATGTTCTCTATAGGAACAATTGGGGAAGTCACGAATCTTGTGACCTCTAGCCACATGATTCCTGAGCAGTAAGGGATTATAGAAACTATGCCTACATTTAGCAGAATTCGGGTTCCTCCCATAATCCTAATCTCATAGCCTTCCATTGGTTTTACAAAGGTGGCTTTTCCATTAGTTTTACAAAGGGCAGAGGTTAGTCTGAGGGAGGGGCTATTATCATCCTTTCTTTAAAGTTAAAACTATAAACTAAATTCTTCCCACGATTAGCTTGGTCTGTGCCCAGGAATGAGCAAGGGCAGCCAGCTTATGAGGCTAGAAGCAAGATGGAGTCAGCCATGCTAGACTTCTCTCACTGTCATCCTCTTCGCAAAGGCGGTTTCAACAAAAAAACAAATATCTGAAAAGCAACCAGAGTGTTGGATTACTTAAATCATTTTCCTGAGGAACAGCCGTTGATGCTTTGGCTTTGCCTGGTTGAAATTAGGGTATTCCCCAAATTTCCAAAGATCACAGTATATTTTCAAGAAAACAAGAATGGAATAAGACTAGTAAGTAGAAATTTACCCTGGCCAACATAGTGAAAACCCATCTCTACTAAAAATACAGAATAAGTCGGGCATGGTGGCACACGCCTGTAATCTCAGCTACTCAGGAGGCTGAGGCACAAGAATTGCTTGCACCCTGGAGGCAGAGGTTGCAGTGAGCCAAGATTGCGCCACTGCACTCCAGCTTGGGTGATGGAGCAAGACTCTGTCTCAAAAAAAAAAAAAAAAGACGAATGAGTAGAAATGTCTAGTTTCAATGACTGTGTGAAGTGTGACACAGCTGGCATGAGTAAACTACTTCTCACATTTGATTTTTAAAAGGGCACTGGATGATGAAAATTGAACAGTATTTATCTGACACTGTCCAAGAAGAAACATGAATATTCTGGGCCACTAGAGAGGTCTGCAGCGTCAGGGGAGGGATGTTCTGTACCTGGATAACACTTCCTTCTAGACATTCTACTCACTATGACAAAGGAAAAGTTAAACTTGGGAACCGAGACACTCAAACACTGCCTTCCTTTTGTTCCCAAACATAGCTGTAATTTCACATGGTTGTTTTATCTTATATAAAATGTAGACTTACTGAGCATGAGACAAATGTATCACTGACTTTCCCTCCATTTCCTTCTTTTCATGTGCTAAATGTAGATTCACTGAGCACCAATAATAAGAGCTCACAAGAATGTAACCACTTGCCTCACTGTCTACCCTCCTTTTCTTCCCCCCGCCTGCTTGCTCTTTCCCCTTTAAATACTGAAGTTCCCCAAATCCTCTTTGGGAAAAGCATAGGACAGGTCCTCCTGTGACTGGTGTTTCTTTTTCCCGGGCACGTCCTCAACCTTGGCAAAATAAACCTCTAAAGGATTGAGTGCTGCCTCAGTCACATTTTCATTTACACTTTCAACCTGTTCTGACTTCATCCTCTAGGGTATTTCTTTCATGCACATGTGAAAAATCAAACTCTACAAAGCAGCTGTTCATTCCCTTGAATCTTGACACTTAAATAACATCACAACTAAGAGAGCTGCTTTCTCAGGACAGCCGTCCAGAACCACAAGACTTCAGAGGTAAGAAAGCAGGGAGAACACAACACTAAATTTCTTGGAAAATTTTTTTATTCTTCTTGCCAACATTTCTTTTGACATTTTATTACTTAATTATGTGACATTAAGAAACAATTTGGTTGCATATTATTTTCAAAAAGCAGTAAGAAAGTAGCTGTTGAGAAAGAAGGAGGTCCATAGGTTTTTCAATAAAACATTAGAAACATTATAAAAAACATTATAAAAAACATTATAAAAAACTTGTTGTTTTTTTTTTCATTTCCATTACATGGAAATACATGATCAAAGATCAGACTAACACATTTTCAAACAGCCTTGGGTCGAAACAGAGCTCTCCATTTCTTTCAGATGAGCCTTTTTTTAGGCTCTTTCAGAAGCATTTCACAATGAACAGAGGTCTTGCCAGGTCATTTCATTAGTGGAGAAGCAAAGGTATGATGGCAGAATTATGAGAAGATGGAAATAAGGTCTGAGGATATGGCTTGAACTCTGAGACCAATTAGCTTTGAGTTATTCAGGCCAGGATAGAAGCTTAGAGAGGATCGAGGCAAACCATGAAGGGAAGCGGGTGCAGGACAATGCCCATCACAGGCTTTATCACAAACTCCAAATCGATCTTCTGGCCCCACTTCTCAAGGTTGAAAAGTTAAATGAGGAAGGAGCCTGCATTGTTCGTAACATAACACAATACTTTCACTTTCTCTGATTTTTAAAGGTGCAGCTCTTCAAGAATTTCACTTTAAAAAATCATCTGTAAGGGAAGAAAAACATGCATTTAATTCAAAGTCTGATTTTTTTTTTTTTGAGATGGAGTCTTACTCTGTTTCCCAGGCTGGGTGGTGTGATCTCAGCTCACTGCAAACTCCACCTCCTGGGTTCAAGCAATTTTCCTGCCTCAGCGCCTGAGTAGCTGGGATTTTCGGTGCCTGACACCACACCTGGCTAACAGTTTTTTGTAGTTTTAGTAGAGATGGGGTTTCACCACGTTGGCCAGGCTGGTCTTGAACTCCTGACCCCAAGTGATCCACCTGCCTCTGCCTCCCAAAGTGCTGAGATTACAGGCATGAGCCACCATGCCGGCCGAAGATTGGTTTTCATACAAACGATTCCAAATAAAATATCTAATGATGACAATCTGACACAAATGACAATGCCAGACGCTTGTCAGAATATATTATATATGTATACATTTTAAGGCTGTTACCATCCTCTGTGAGAAATACCAGCACACACCCACCTCCCCACATCTCCCCAAAACAACAGTAACAACAAACCTTTCACAGCACGGGTGAACTCGCTCTTCTGCTGACTTACTTTCGACTCAGGTTTCTGATCCTACTTATGTACTTGTCCGGGCTACCGGCGCTCATTACCGTAGTAAAAATTGTGAGGCTGAAAATAATGAGAGGAAATTTTATGTACACATCATTTTCTCTAATATGCCAGAGAGGGAAGAAAATGACCAAGTGCTTCCCTAACACCTGGGATCTGGGACAAGGCCCTTTATGCCAGAATATTTTAATTCTGTGAATCAAGAGGTCAAAGTGCTCTTTCCTCCTATTTTGACAACACTGTGGAAGGCCAAGTTGGAACTTAAAACTCTCAGACTTAATTAGCCGCGTGTGGTGGTGCCTGAAATCCCGGTTACTAGGGAGGCTGAGGCAGGAGAATTGCTTGAACTTGGGAGGCGGAGGTTGCACTGAGCCGAGATTGCGCCACTGCACTCCAGCCTGGGCAACAGAGTGAGACTGTGTCTCATAAAAAATAAATAAATAAAATCTCAGACTCCTCAGAGCTCCACCCCAAGGCAGTGGGGGAGACCAAGCCTGGGCCCTCACCCTGGCTCTGTCCTACCCCCAAGGGCCTTACTTGCATACATGTGACATCACCGCCTTCACATTCCCCAGCAAGCACCTACCCCTGTGCTCTCCCTCAGTGGCCGTGCACCACCATCAGGAGAATACCACCCAGGGAAGAGGAAAACACAAACCCTGGAAGTGGAGGTGGGGCTGTTCAGGCTGAGAATTACAGGGTCCTGGGTACTTGGGCAGACTCTAGGTGGGCAAATGCCCTTGGTCCAGCAGATTCCTTACACCATGGTTTGGGGGGTGGTATCACAACTAGAGGAATTCCAGAGGAGGGCCTCTAAAGCTCCAGGATCAAGGCACCTGCCCTACCCCTCCACCTTGCCCAGATCTAAGGATGAAAAGTATAGTGTCATTGATTCCACATTCCGTATAGGAAGAGACCTAAACAACTTGAGCACATGTGCCCACATGCACACACACTTGTCTTGGAATCCAACTGAGGTGCATGTGCAAAATATCGCAGCTGGGTTGTTCAGAAACAGGCAGAATTAGTAGCACTGGGTCCACAGCTAAATCATACACTCAGTTAAAGACAGCACTATAAGTAAGTGCAGAGCTCGTCCAAGGGTAATGGAGGTTCCCTGAACAGGACCTTAGTTGCTCGTTTACTTTAGTCATGGTTCTATTCTCCATCACTGTTTTAGTATTTTCTCTGCTGATGAGCCACAGCAGAGGATGGAGTTGTATTGCAGGTGGGTGTAATTCTGCAGCACAGCACAAGGGAGCAGCATAGAGCTAACTGCCTTTGTTCAGACTACTTTTTTGTTGTTTTTCTGTTTTCTTTTTCTTACAGTTACACTTAGTTCTATTAACCTCACACAACTGAACAGCCTCGGTTGAGGTTAATCTTTACACATAAAGGGCCTGAGAGTCAGAAGTCTGTGTTAATTCTGGCTCCATGGTGATTGTTACTTAAATGCAGTTTCTCTTGAGTTTTCAAGTATACAACAGAGAAAAACACTACTTGGTGAACTGTGTATAATTTCTAACAATTGTATTTTGACCAAACCATTTCAGAAACCATTTCAACATTCACAGCTGTTAACTCAATAATCCTACTTCTGGGAATTCAGTCAAGGGAAATAATCTGAAAGTAAGCAGGGGAGAGGCAAACGAATATGTTTGTTTCAGAGTTTTAATAAAGGAAGATATAACAACTGGAGAAT